TTGAAAAATGATTAATTAGTCAGTTACAATGAGAAATTCCAATGCAAATGTGTCTCTGAATAATGTATTTGCAGTTTGAAATCACTAAGTATTGTTGTGGCTCCATTTATCTTGTGATATATTAACATTCATAAGAAGAAGTCACAGCTGTCTTTGACGCCTCTGCAATGTCCAAATGGTTGATTCTCCACAACAGTGAATTGGAAGTGTTGGTGTTGGACTGGGGTGGACAAAGTCAGAAGTCACACAACACCAGGTCACAGTCCACCAGGTTTATTTAAAACCACAAGCTTTCCCAGCATAGCCCCTTCATCAGGTGAAGTAAGAGAGAAGCACAAAAGAACACAGAATTTATGGACAGAGAGATCAAAAGATCATACGAAAGGTGTCAGTGGAGTGTTGAATAATATGTCTCTGCAGGTGATCAAAAGTGTTAGACAGAGTGAGTAAAGTGTCAACAGCTGAATAACAAGTGAAGGGATACCTATAATCTGATTAAATGAGGTAGAGAAATAATTACAAAATACTAAAAATAAAATGGAGCTGGAGACAAACCAAATGACTGGAATCACGTGATAGGTATAAGAGTCACATGCCGCAGGTCCAACCAAAGTAATAAGTAATCCAAAACTATACAAACTAATTAAGGTAGAAAGATCATAACAATTTATCAAGGTCATAGTGTCAAAACAGGACAGTAAGGAAGATTTTACAAATACAGAACAGTATGGTGGAATCACTGTAGTGCAAAATGAACCCAAGATCACGATTGAGGCTGTCTTCATGGGTACAGAGCTTGGCTGTCAGTTTCTGCTTGGCGATTCTGCATTGTTGTGGATCTCGAAGGACGCCTTGGGGACCCTTAACTGAAGATCGGAAGGTGAATGTCCTTGACTGCTCCCGACTGGGAGGAAACATTCCTGTCTGGCGTTTGTTGTGCGGTGTCCATTCATTGGTTGTTATAGCATATGCATGGTCTCACCAATATACCATGCCTCAGGTCATCCTTGCCTGCAGTGTATGAGATAGATAACATTGGCTGAGTCACATGAGTATCTGCCATATGTGTGTGATGGTAGTACTTTTGTCAATGTCTTGCAAAGGTGCCATGGCAGGATTGTGTGGTGTTGTGGTCAATGTTGTCCTGAACGCTGAGTAGTTTGCTGAGAACAATGGTCTGTTTAAGGTTTGGCAGTTGTTTGAAGGCAAGATGTGGGGATGATCTTGGCGAGATGCTCATCGTCATCGATGACATGTTGAAGGCTGCATAGAACATGGCGTAGTCTCTCCGCTCCGGGGAAGTACTGGATAATGATGGGTATTCTATCGGTCATATTCTCTGTCTGTCTTCTGAGAAGGTCGTTACAGTTTTTCGCTGTGGTACGTCAGATATGGTGATCGCTGAGTTGAGCATCATACCCCGTTCTTTTGAGGACGTCCTTCAAATTCTTTAGGCGTCTGTCATGTTTCTCTTCATCTGAGCAGATTCTGTGTACACTCAAGGCTTGTCCATAGGGGATGGCTTTTTTAATATGTTTAGAATGGAATCTAGAGAAGTGCATTATCATGAGGGTATCCGTGGACTTGCAGTAAAGTGAGGTACTGAGGTGTCCATCCTAGATGGAGATGATGTCTCCAAGAATAAGACTGATTCTGAAGAGTATTCCATGGTAAATCTGATGGTGGGATGAAACCTTTTGATATTGTCATGTAGTCATTTCAATGATTCCTTGCTGTGAGTCCAAAGGAAGAAAATGTTGTTGATTTATCTGGTGTGTAGCATTGGTCGGAGGTCCTGTGCAGCAAAGATGTCTTGCTCGAACTTGTGCATGAAATCGTTGGCATATTGGAGTGCAAATTTAGTCCCCATGGCTGTTCCGTGTGTCTGGATAAAGAACTGGTTGTTGAAGGTGAAGACGTTGTGATTGCGGATGAGTTGTCAGATGGCATCTGGAAATTAGCAGTCATTGGTAAATAGACCATTATTCGCAGCAAAATACCCAGCCTACAGGACAACATCGACCACAACACCACACAAACCTGCCATGGCAACCTCTGCAAGACATGTCAGATCACTAACACGGATACTACCATCACACGTGCGAATACGATCCACAACGTACATGGCAGATACTCATGTGACTCGGCCAATGTTGTCTATCTCATATGTTGTAGGCAAGGATGCCCTGAGGCATGGTAAACTGGCGAGACTATTCAGTCGCTACTACAACTGATGAATGGACACCGCGCAACAATCGCCAGACAGGAATGTTCCCTCCCAGTCGAGGAACACTTCAGCGTCAAGGACATTCAACTTCCGACCTTCAGGTAAGTGTCCTCCAAGGCGGCCTTCGAGATACACAGAATCGCCGAGCAGAAACTGACAGCCAAGCTCTGTACCCATGAAGACGGCCTCAACAGTGATCTTGGGTTAATTTTGCACTATATGTGATTCCACCATGCTGTTCTGTATTTGTAAAATCTTCCTTACTGTCCTATTTTGACACTATCACCTTGATAAATTGTTATGATCTCCCAACCTTAATTAGTTTGTACAGTTTTGGATTACTTATTACTTTAGTTAGACGCTCAGCATGTGACTCTTTTCCTATCATGTGATTCCAGTCATTTGGGTTGTCTCCTGCATCATCTTATTTTTAATATTTTGTAATTATTTCTCTGCCTCATTTAATCAGATTATAGGTATCCCTTCACTTGTTATTCAGCTGTTGACACTTTACTCACACTGTCAAATGCTTTTGATCACCTGCAGAGACATATTATCCAACACTCCACTGACACCTTTCGTATGATCTTTTGATCTCTCTGCCCACAAATTCTGTGTTCTGTGTGCTTCTCTCTCAATTCACCTGATGAGGGGGCTATGCTGGGAAAGCTTGTGATTTCAAATAAACCTGTTGGACTATAACCTGGTGTCGTGAGACTTCTGACTTTCCCCACAGGATCGTTCAAGCATGGCCCCAGTTGTCTTCGGATCTGATTGATGGCAAAGATTCATTCTTAGTCCACTCTTCTTCCCCATTTAAATATTAGATTTTGTTGAAATACATCCATGAGAACTCAATGACAAAGTTCTACCTCTATTACTTTCCATGATTAAATCAATCTGAGATTCAGTCAAGGCTAATTCAGAACCTCCCCCTCTTGAACACTGGAAAGATCAATAATGGATATGACAAAAGCATCTGTTCTATGAAGCCAGTCCAATTAACAGATTATGTAGACAAGTATGCCAGTGCACTGTTCTTGCAACATTCTGAAAAAAGAACTAAAAAAGAAACATTTATATTTCTAGGATGAAATGATGAAACTGGAAACTGAAGCACAAATAAACCCTGTCCTATAGCATGCTGCCCCTTTTAGAGTCATAGAGCTGTACAGCATGGAAATGGACCATTCGGTCCAACTTGTCCATGCCGACCAGATATCCTAAATTAATCTAGTACCATTTTCCAGCATTGGGCCCATATCCCTCTGAACCTTCCCTATTCATATACCCATCCAGACGCCTTCCAAATGTTGTAATTGTACCAGCCTCCACCACTTCTTCTGGCAGCCTATTTCATACATGCACCACCCTCTGCATGAAAACCTTGTCCCTTGGGTCAGTTTAAATCTTGCCCCTCTCACCTTAAACCTATGCCCTCTAGTTTTGGACTTCCCTACCGTGGGGAAAAGACCTTGGCTATTCACCTATCCATGCTGTTCATGATTTTATAAACCTCTATAAGGTGACCCCTCAGCCTCTGACGCACCAGGAAAAATTGCACCAGTGTATTCAGCCTCTCCCTATAGCTCAAACACTAGCAACATCCTTGTAAATCTTTGCTGAACCCTTTCAAGTTTCACAACATCCTTCCTAAAGCAGGGAGACCAGAACTGAACATAGTATTCCATAAGTGGCCTAAACAATGTTCTGTACAGCTGCAACATGACCTCCCAACTCCTATACTTAATGCACTGACCAATATTGTTTTTATGAAAATGATAAACACAAGCATTCACACCCAACATAAAGTCTATATGTTTGCTACCAACATCCCAAAGCTCCACATTTTTTCTCAACATTCAGTATCTAATCCAAAGATAATGCAGCACTTTCTCTGTTTTGCATTTGGATGTCAACTCAGTTTAGGTACTGTCGCAGAAAAAAAGATGCTTTCAATTGAGCCAAGCTCACAGTTCAGAATCATTGGGTGACGTATAGCTCTTAAAACAGTACCTGAAAAAAGGAGTCAACAGTTGTGGCCGAATCAAAACAAGCCAAAGTATAATAAATTTGCAGCAGTGAAGGCCATCGTTTAGTCTATTATGTCTGTGCTAGCTGGAAGATAATAATCCAGTTTTACGGCAATTGATCTACAGTACCCTCGTTTACAGCAATGCAAATGCAAATCTAAGGATTTTTAAATGCAACGAGGGTTTCTGCTTCTACAACTTTTCAAACAATGAATTCTAAACCCCAGTTGGGTGAATGTTAAAAATCACGATTGACCTTTGTTGAGGGAAATTAAACTGAAAATGAGAAGAAAATTAATATAAAGTAGGGAAGACAATTGAATTATGTTTTGCATTACTGGTTCATCTTTGTCAAAATTCGAGTTGGTTGAGGAAAAGAAATTGCTGGAAAAACTCAGTACGTCTGGCGAGATCTAACAGAAGAAAGTAGAGTTCATCTTTCGAGTTCGGCGACTCGTCAGCATTGTTAGTAGATAGGTCAAATTGGTACAATATTTATGCTGAAGCCCAGGTACAGAATGGGAGAGGTGAATGGAAAATGGAGACAGAGCTCAGGGAGAGATATGAAAAGGTAAATAAACAAAGAGATTCTGGATAGCAGACCAGGACAAAAAAAAATTCTGAATAAGTGGTAATGAAAGCTAAAAATGAAAAGATGGGTTTGAAACCTATACGATGTCCTAACCTCTGGCTGACAAAAGAACATTGACAAGTCGGGCGGCACTGCGCATGTGCCAGAACGGGCAACTTGTCCGGCAACAGACATGCGTATTAGCCGGTGGAGCGGGTGGGCGTGCGCATGTGTAGGAGCTTAGAGTCATCATGGCGGCTCGTAGCCATGTGCAGGATCCCAATGACAGGAGGTTGCGTCCGATCTATGGTAACGAACTAATTCGTTGTGTTGTACTTGCGACATTCACCTGTTCACACACCGATAACAAAACTCAAGCTGTTCAAAGACATGGTGCTTTGTTAATTCACCACCACAAATCGGCTTCATGGTAGGCCGCAAATGTATCCTCGAGCTCGAATTACATAGCACTTAGGAGCCCAGTGCGGTATCGAACGCTACTCGTTACTAACAGTCCAGCGTCCATGTGATTTTTTAATTTTAGTGTTGTATTCTTTCGTAGAAAGATTTTTTTAGAAGTTTATTTGGGAGGGTCTGTGGTTGGCAACAGTTATGTAGAGTGATGTGCTTTTCTGCAGTTGAAACCTGTTGATTGCCCATCACGGTGGAAGCGAGGCGTTTGGGAGACAGCGACTAAAACGCTGGGGTGTTGGTGTAGACAAACTTCTGGTTGGAAATCTGGGTGGGTCACCTTTCTAACCTGAACTGCAACTGTGCTGGAGTGAATGGAGTTCGGTTGGCAGCCGCAACTTGATGCTACTCTGCCGTCTGCGGATGTTTCTGGTCTTAGAAACAAGTTATCTGGCTGTTGGAGCTGAGCGCTTTTCTGGAAATAACTGTCTTAATTGTGGTGTTACAACAGCTCGTGCTTGCTTTATTGTTGAAAATTTGTTAATATTTTGCTGTGTTCTGTTTTTGTTTAAGTTATGTGTTAATTGACTAATTAATATTTAAAATAAGTTTAGCCTCACTGTAAACGAATCATTTGTTAACCAGGGATATCATTAAAGATTATTCCATTGTTTTGACAAGGAAATAGATGTGCTGCAGTAAAAAAAAAAGTCATACTAGAGACTTTCTGGTCATTGCTGCTTCACTAATGTATTTATTAAATCTAACGAGTGTTGATGATAATTAGTTACATGTAAGGATATTCAGGCAGAGGGCCCTCTTGTACTGTCGAAGTAGTGTCCCTATTGCTGGACCAGGAGCCTGGGTTCAAGTCTCATCTGCTCCAGAGGTGTGTAATAACATCTATGAACAAGTTGATTTGAAAAATAGGTTAAATTTTACAAGATGGATATTGAGGTTGAGGGACTGTTGTGGTACAGTGGTAATGTCCTTGTCCCTAAACTGAGAGACCCAGTTTCAAATCCCACTTGCTCCATAGGTGTATAATAACATCTCTGAGCAGGTTGATTAGAAAAATAGTTTGGATATTCATGTTATAGTCTTTTCTCTTTTTTTTCTCAGTTTGAGTTGGGTTGTTAATCATCTTAAAATAAAAAGCAGGCTTTTAGTAGTGTTTGGTCTCCAATTTGTGACAAAGTGTGGTGATAGAATCATACAGCATGGAAACAGGCCCCTCAGCCCACCATGTCTGTGTTGACCACAAACATCAAACTGCATTAATTCCATTTGCCTGCACTTCTAATTTGATTTATTATTGTCACATGTACCTAGGTACAGTGAAAAGTTGTGTTTTGTTTGCAGTACAGGCAGATCATACCATACACAGTGCATAGGGTAATAGAACAGAGCAAAGAATACAATGTTACGGCTGCAGGGAAGGTGCACAGAGTGTGAGATCAGCATTAAATTTTTAACTTAAAATTGGTCCACTTGGTTCATAGCCTATTATGACCTGGGATTTTAAGTGCTTCTCCAGATGCTTGTTAAATGTTGTGAGAATACCTGCCTTTGCTATCCTCTCCAACAGCACGTTGCATATTTCTACCACCCTTTTCATAGAATGTAGGGATCACTGGCTGGGCCAGCATTGAATGGTCATACCTAATTGCCTTGGAGAAGGTAGCAGCGAGTTGCCATCTTGAATTGCTATCATCTTTGGTGTATAGGGACATCCAGAGTGCTGTTAGGGAAAGAGTTCCAAGATTTTGATCTAATGACAATGATGGGAAAGAGAGATACCTCGAAGTAAGAGACAACAAGGTGCAGGGCTGGATGAACACAGCAGGCCGAGCAGAGAGGCTGACGTTTTGGGCCTAGACCCTTCATCAGAAAAGGGGGAGGGGAAGGGGGTTCTGAAATAAATAGGGAGAGAGTGGGAGGCGGATAGAAGATGGATAGAGGAGAGGATAGGTGGAGAGGAAACAAACGGGTCGAAGAGGCGGGGATGGAGCCAGTAAAGATGAGTGTAGGTGGGGAGTTAGGAAGGGGATAGGTCAGTCCAGGGAGGACGGACAGGGCAAGGGAGCGGGATGAGGTTGGTCGGTAGGAGATGGAGGTGCGGCTTGAAGTAGGATAGTTAGATAAAGGAGAGCCAGGGGACGTAATCTGTTTGGATTTCCAGAAGTCCTTTGATAAAGTGCCGCACAGAAGACTGCTAAATAAGACGAGCCCCCGGTGTTAGGGGCAAGGTGTTTGCATGTTTAGAGGATTGGCTGACTGGCAGCAAGCAGAGAGTGGGCATAAAAAGGTGTTTTTCAGGATGGTAGCCAGTGACTAGTGGCATTTGAGAGGGATCAGTGTTGGGACGCCATTAATCATGTAGTGCATTACGATTTGGATGAAGGAACTGCGGCCATTGTTGCTAAGTTTGCAGATGATCCAAAAACAGATTGTGAAACTAGTGGTGTTGAGGAGGCAAGGCATCTGCAGAAGGACTTGGACAAGCTAGGAGAGTGGGCTAAGAGGTGGCAGATGGAATACAGTGTGGGGAAAGAGAGAGGTTATGCACTTTTGTTGGAAGAATAGAAGTATAGACTATTTTCTAAATGGGGAAATCTTTGGAAATCTGAAGCGTAAAGGGACTTAGTTCTAGTCAATGATTCTCTTAAGATTAACATGCATGTTCAGTTGGCAGTTAGGAAGGCAAATGCAGTGTTAGGATTATTTCAAGAGGGCTAGAAGACAAGAGTAGAGATGTACTGCTGAGGTTCTATAAGGCTGTGGTCAGACCGCATTTGGAATATTATGAGTGGTTTTGGGCCCCGTACTTAAGGGGCCAGCTTTGGAGGGGTCCACGTTTAACAAGAATGATCCTGGGGTGAAGGACCTGTCATGAGAGAAGTGTTGAGAACTCTGGATCTATACTCGATGGAGTTGAAAATGATGAGGGGGAGCTTTGACTGCTGAGAGGACTGGATAGAATAGATGTAAAGAAGGTATCTCCTGTCGTGGGAGAGACGAGGACATGAGGGCACAACCTCGGGGTAAAGGAATGATACTTTAGAACTGAGATGAGGAGTTTCTTCCAGAGGATGGTGAATCTGTGGAATTGATGGCTGCGGAAGGCTGTGGAGGTCAAGTCATTGAGCATATTTAAGACAGAGATAGATTCTTGATTGCTAAGGGGAGAAGGCAGGAGAATGGCATTCAGAAACATATCAGCCATGATCCAAAGGTGGAGCAGATTCAGTGGACTTAATGGCCTAATTCTGCTCCTATATCTTATGGTGTGTGATTTTAGAGGGGAACTTTTGCAGGTGGTTGTGCTGCCATGCACCTGCTGCCCTTGTCCTTCTAGATGGTAGTAGTTGCTCTCCTGGAAGGTGCTGTTGAAAGGTCCTTGGTGAGTCATTGCAGTGCATCTTGCATTTTGTAGGTGTACACTCTTACCACTGTGCACTGGCGCTCAAGGACTTGTACAGTTAATTATATAGTCCTGGGAATGTTGCTGAACAAAAAGACCTAGGGGTGCGGTACAGAGTTCCTTGAAAGTGGAGCCGCAGGTCGACAGGCTGCTGAAGAAGGCGCTTTTCATGATCACCTTCATTGGTCAGAACATTGATTTTAGGAGTTGCAACGTCATGTTGTAGCTGTACAGGATGTTGGTGAGGCCACTGTTAGAATATTGCATTCAGTTCTGTTCTCCCTGCTGTAGGAATAATATTGATAAACTTAAGATCCAGAAAAGATTCATGAGGATATTGCTGGGATTGGAGGGTTTGAGCTATGGGGATAGGCTGGATTTTTTTTCCCTCTGGAACCTTGGAGGCTGAAGGGTGACCTCATAGAGGTTTATAAAATCATGATGGCCATTATTAGGGTGAATAGCCAAGGTCATTTTCCCAGGATAGGGAGTCCAAAACTAGAGGTAATAGGTTTAAGGTGAGAGGGGAAAGATATGAAAGGAACCTAAGAGACCACTTTTTCCTGCAGAGAGTGGTATGTGCATAGAACAACCTGCCAGAAGAAGTGGTGGAGGTGGATACAATGCAATATTTAAAAGGTATCTGGATGGGTGCATGATTAAGAGGGGTTTCGAGGGATATGGGCCAAATGCATGCAAATGCGACTAGATCAGTTTTGGAGAGTTGGTTTGTGCGGATGAGTTGGACTGAGCGGTCTGCTTCCGTGCTATGTAATTCTGACTCTGACTCTAAGATGTTGATATTGAGAGATTCAGTGAAGGCAATGCCACTAAACATCAAGGGTGATGTTTTGATTTCTCTTGATGGAGATAGTTGTTGCCTGCCATTTGTGTGGCGCGACTGTTACTTAACACTTAACCCTGCACGCCTAGACGTTGACCAGGTCTTGCTGCATTTAGAGACAGAATGCTTTGGTACCTGAGGAGTTTGTGGATGGTTCTTAACATTGTGCAGTCATCAGCCAAAGTTCCCATTTTAACCTTGTGGTGAGCAGATGAAGGTAGTTGTACCTTGGACACTCACCAAGGAATTTCTGCAGTGATGACCCTGAAATGAGATGATTTATCTTCAACAGCTGCAACTGTCTTCCTTTGTGTTAGGTATGGCTCCAATCAGTGGAGAGTTCTCCCCAATTCCCATTTGACTCTAATTTTACTAGATGACTCGATGCCGTATTTGGTTGACTGTGGCTTTGATGTCAAAGCATTGACTCTAATCTTGCCTCTGGAATTAATTTCTTTTGTCCATTTTTAGACCAAACTTGTAATGAAGTTTAGTAAGTCTTAATCAAAGTTAATTGAGGAACTTGGTGGCCCTGGCAGAACCCAAACTGAGCATCAGTGAACTTTTTTTTACAAGTGCTGCTTGATAGCATTGTTGATGACTCCTTCTATCACTTTCCTGATGAACAGG